CTCTTGCTCCTGCAAGAAATGACCAGGAGGCTGAAGCTCACCTCTAGATCATGAGGCCAGGGAAGGCTGTGTGCTGGGGCAGAGTATGTGGAGGAGGGATGCTGGGAACTGGGCTTGTGCTTCGTTCCCATGATTTAGCACAGCCTCTTGCTCTCTCAGTTTCATCAACTCCTTACAGATATGTTTTTACTACTCTAAACACTGTCACTTTCCCATCCTGAAATAATTTCTGCCTGAAACACTAGCCTATTTTGCCATTAGCAAGGAAGGTCTATTGTAACCCTTATAGGCAGGTTCATAATTTTTTTTATCTGGAAAAGCTTTCACTCTATTTTAAAATTATTCCCTTTTTCCTCACCTCCATTTCCATGTTTCCTTCACTATGCTCCCAGTGGATCTGACACTTGTACATTAACAGAAGACAGTGACCTGTGATAAAAATACACTTTTATGGAGTGCTTGGGCAGGAAGCATTACAGGACCTGAGCAAGAAATAAAAATACAATAAGCTATATCAAAATTCAGCTCTGATGGACTCATTGCCACGAAAAGAGAAAGAAGTGAGCAGACACCTTGGCAAGGACTCAATCTCTGTGCAGCATTCATGGAAGCAGCCAAGGGTTGAAAGCTGTTACAAAGTTACTGGAAATTGGGAAAATGGTAAATGAAGGGAGATGACACACTTGGACATTCTGCATTTTACAAGTTAAAGCCAAGAGACAGGATCAGAGCTGAAAAATCACCTGTGAGAATTTACACAACAGCCTGAGGTCTATTGGGCAGTGGTCTCCGAGTAACAGACCAGAGAACAGCAGGCTGTCTTCATACCGCCCAGGAAAATCTTGCTAAAATGCAGGCCAGGGACTCTGCACGCCCAGCCATGGCAGGGAGAAGAGGAGAGACAAGGGGAGAAGGTGCTGCGCAGCAGAGCTGGGATCGAGAGGTGGTTTTGCACTGCCAACACTGATCTTCCAGCTCACAGCCTAAGCTAAAAGCACTGCACCAGTGTGCTTCCAGCTCTCCGGAACATGCTTATGAACAGAAAAGGGTCTTCTCCACCAGGTCTGCCTGCACATACCCTGGCTGGAGCACACTGAGCTGCCCAGTACAGAGGGTGAGGAAGCCATCCAGGACCAGAGAACTGTGCTCCTATAAGCATTCACAAGCACAGGAGAATCCATATGTGTTTTGCAGTTATACTACTGAGCAGGGTCCAGAGACTATATACCTCCCCCTGACTGGTTACACCGGTGGAGCTCCCAGAGCATCTGCCTCCTCACAGAGCCTTTTCCTCTGGGGCAGGAAACGCCTGCCCAGCCCTCGGGACTCTGAGATGCTGGAAGAGGCAGCGGAGGCAGCTGCCTCCTGCGGCAGTAATTGCAGCACAATCTTGGACCTTGAGAAGTTTCATCCCTGCAGGAAAGCAAAGACTAATCAAAACTATACACTCGGGCTGCCTGTTTCACCTCTTGGAAATTCAGCTGCCAGTCCCACAGAGCAACAGGAAAAATCACATTCATTTCCACAGAGATTTTATCACCTCAGTCTTGGCATGGGAGAGGCATCTCCGCCCAGCTGTGAGCAAGCACGCACATTTTGCTGGCTTTTTTTATGTAATCAGAACAAATTCCTCAGAGATGAGTCACAGGGTTTCAAGGGTGTCCAGAGAGATGTCAAGCAAGCCTCAAGTGTAAATCAGCGACACACCTTGCCGAGAGGATGCACACTCTGCATGCTTGTCAGCAGGCCTGTTCCCCCTCCCCGAGGACATCAGGCAAGGGAAGGGGCTCGATGGATGCTCCCAGAGAGGCTCCCATGAGCCACACACACACGTGGCACCTCCAGACCCAGGACACTGCTGTGTTTACATTTCCTCTGTAAAGGCAGCAATGGTTTCAGGGTGGAGCTGGAGTGCTTCCCTGCAGCTGCTCTCCAGGCTCTAACACTAAAGATTTTCAGTCACCCAGGCTGGAGGAGCCCGGCAGCCAGGGAACAGATCTGAACTTTAGAAATGGAGGTTCTGCCCCATCAAAGCATGGTCAAACTGCAGGGGTCCTGCGTGAGATGTTTGCAATGGTGGAACAGCTGCATCCCATGGCAATTGTTTCAGTGCTGTGATGTTGCTACGTCAAGCAAACTTTTTCTGCTCCCCTACCCAGGAACAAGTACTCCAGCCTGCATGGGTCTGCGGGCCAGACAGAGGACAAAGACAATACTTGCATAATTTCAAGGCACAGCCTGCTTTAGTGGCTCCTTTAGAGGCTGAAATGTAGAGAAGGACCATGAAGAACTAGACCTGGGCACAATCACAGAAGTCCAAAGTAACACTGAGGAAAATGCTGTGGATGCTCTTGGGCCTTTGGGTGTCAGAGCAGATGGAACAGACAAAAACTTTGGTGAAGCTTGGCTCTATGTCAGTCTTCTTTGACTAGTGCTAAGGGCAATGTTTGGCACAAGGTGCTAATGCAGGGCAGCCTCCCGATTTGGAAACCACTCTTCAAGCAGAGTGTGCAGGGCGCTTCCAGTCTAGACTGGGGCAAATCTCCATTTGTCCATTCTTTGAGAGCAACTGTAGAAGACACAACCCAACTATCAAAGCCCTTCACCTTTCAATTGCACCCTCAGGTGACTAACAGTTACCAGCTACCATTAATATTAAATGGGAAAGAAAGAAATGTAATCCTCTCTCTGCTCTTCACATTCCACCATAGCACAAACAATTTGTCATATTGGGAGGGGCAGAGGCAGGAGGAGCATTAATTATTGATACTTGGGAACAGATGGCTTTTCTTGTACCAGGGCAGCGGAATGTAAGAGGAGTCTGTGGGTGAGGATGTGAGCATTAGATGGGCAGACACATATCAGATAACCAGCCTTCCAGTGGAACAGGAACCTTCCTCCCAGAACCAGCTCTGCTGGCCTGCGGAGCTCTCATCAACAGCCCCGGCTGCAGAAACAAATCCACTGACATTTAAATTAGTGAGGCTTCACCAGAACCTTTCAACACTCCCTCACCTCCATACAGAACATCCTGGACACGATGACTGACAGCTTCCAGACAGCAGAGGCCTGTGAAACCAGGCACCGATTGGTCCTTCTAGGAGACCCTACTGGTTGCATTTCACATGTTCATCCTCATCTACTGCCCTGTGCCATGCAAGGCTTATTCCTGAGACCATGCACGGTGTCCAAGAGTGACTCCCTCCTGTCTTCCACTGGCTTCTGCATCCCACACAGGGTGCTGGCCTCCAGAATCAAAGATCCAAGTGATCTGGACTGGTGACTTAAACCAGAGACTCTGTCATCCAACTCTTTTTGCCAGCTTTTCCCATTGATCCAATTCACTGGAGTGGACATAGTGGCGCCACAGAGACAAAAGCTTCCCCTGAAACATGAACAGTCTCTGTACCCACTGCTGGAGCCAGGCATCTGTGTCCATTTTCACTCTGGTGTAGTCATGTCTTTGCTGGAAGACTAAAGAACTGGCTGTACTGACTCAGACCTGGACCTGGGGTAGCCCAGGCTCCTGTCTCAGGCAGTGGTTATAAGCAGATGCCAAGGGAAGAGTCAGAACTGGGAAAGCCAATGCTGATGCCTCCTCTACTGCTGCAAGAATGATATTCCTCAGCTATTTTATGCTCAGGGATTTCACAAACCAGACACCACTTCTCTACATAGCAACTCAATTCAGTTTTCCTCTCTGGACGTACCCCTTAAATCCTGTAAATGGGTATTTGCTTTCCCAGCCAGGACAGATTAAATCCATGGTTATTCCATTGAGCAAGGCAGACTTTGTTACCTCCACAGGGCCCAGAAGGTACCTCGGGACCACAATGTCCAGTCTCGAAATATTGGAGACCTCCTCACAGTCTATTCCCAAACTCAGTTTGTTCTCTTGGCCTCTGCTGAGAGGTTGCTCCAAAGCCTAATTTCTCTGATAATTAGACATGCTCTTCTCATTTCTCAAGCTGACTAATCACTGATTTCCAATTCCTCTCAGTCTGCCTAGGGTCATGCAGCCTGCAGCCTGTGAGAGTCCCGAGATATGTACAATCTTGTGATTTGGAAAAACACAACTTCCCAGCTTCTTCCTGGCCTGGACCAACGGCAAAGTGCTTGAGGTGAACAAAAGCCAAATGCCAGGAGACAGCTACTGTCTATGAACAATACAACTTTTCACAATGTGGAGTAGAATGGAGAAGGCTTCCCTACCTAGGAGCCAGTGAAGAGGGGGAAGCAATCTTAAAAAGACCTGGGCCACATCTGTGTGGGAAAGATTGATCTCTACAAAAAAGGAGCAAACCTCCCCACTACAGAAGCTTTGACCAGTGTCCAAGTTTGCTCTAGTTTGGTACAGGAAATGGACAGACCTGACGGAGTGTCTTTTTACTGCAGCATTATATCCACATGAGAGCATTTGATCCTCCAAAAATGCTGTTCAGCTCACTGTGATAGTACCAGAAAATGTTTCTAATGTAGATCTGCCCTTTAAAGAGCCGTCTCCACAGAGCCGTGATGTGTTTACACTAGCAAACCGCTGCGGAACAGTCACCTGAGAGCTAACAAGCACGGGCTAATCTCACCTCCCTCACATTTCAGAGGGGCTGAGGAGGGGATCATCTAGCAAAAAAAGTCTATGGATTAGAGAGCAACACAATGGATCAAAAAGCAGAAGGAGGTCACATCTTTTCAACCCCAGACCAGAACTGCTCCATTTCACCCTACTTGACTTAACATTTATGTGTATCTTTTCCCTGATGCTTCAAAAAGGAGTCACATTATATACACATTCCAGAAAACTTTTCCCAGCAGAAATAACCATTTTTAACACACATTGCACTTGGGAGAATGTCTAGAATTTTACAGCCAAATGCATGGGTGGAGCTGTGATTTGACCCATACAGGAAAGCTGTAAGTTGACATCACCATCCCAACCAGGCTCTGGAGTCGGGGCGGTCGGTGGGCTTGGGAGGAAGACGTGCTCGGCAGGAGCTCCCTACCTCTTTGATGGCAGACATCTTGATGTTCTCATAGTAGTGCAGCGGTGCATTGGGTGAACTCATGTCATAGCCAAACCCAGCTACCGCCACCTCATCACAGTTGTGGAGCGCCATGGTTATTGCTACGCTTCCCAAGGTGGGGATGTTCTGAGAGGAGAAGTCATTAGCAAGTTGCCATTTCTATAATCAAAGATTTCCTCTTACTGCCTCTGCTCACAGGGGCACGGTGGCTACTAAGTAGAAAATCAGGAACAGGGTATTTGGCTGTATCTGCACATCAGCTGCCCAACGCCAGCTTGTGGGGTCAATAGCCTCCCATCTTGCAAAGAAAATCATATGTTAACCAGTGTCCTGCAAAGCATCTAGCACAGAAGCAGCGGCTCTTGTTTGAGGCTCTATGACCTGACTCTCCAGGGGAGTACTGTGGGGCAGATGGATTAATGCAAATGGTCCAACACCCCTTCCACAACTCCGCTATCCTGAGAATGGGGCAGCAGACAAGCTGGAGGATGAATCACAGTGCATACATTAGTTTTCTGAAACTACAACATAGATATTGGATCACAATTCTATACATGTAACTGGCTTCCAGCGAGGCGAAGGAGGAATACCCATCCCAAACAGGCCACCACACAGGAGCAGAAGCGAGGAGCAGTACAAACCTTTTATTTTACTGATGGCAAAAGCTGTTTAAGGAGGCCATTAAACAACTCTGGGCAGACCCAGACTGCAGACCCAGTCAGCAGCATGCACGGAGCAAAGGGGCACCCCACAGGCACTGGGCACTCTGGCCCGTGCCATTCCCTTCCTAGCCACAGCATACTGGGAAGACAAGGAGCAGTGACAAGAGATGGGTGCTAGCACTCTGAGCAGGGACACCCTGACTGTCCTCTCCCTTCTGCTGACCTGCCATCTGCACCAAAGTCCAGCCTCAGTCCTTCCCATTTCACCTGGCTTCTGCTGAGGCCCTGCAACAGCAGTGCTGTGCAGCTGCAAATCTTCTTGGGTGTTCAGAGGAACATGACTGCTGTGACAGATGAGTATTTCCAGTGTAAAACCCTAGCTCACAAGCTCTTCTAGCTCCCCTCTAGCCAGATGAATCCAGAGGTAGCTTTACCCCAGAGGCTAGGGAGAGGCTGAGAAATCTACCCACATATCTTATCTGCATTTGTAGAGCATCCAGCACTGCCATATCAAACACATCACAAATTCAGATAACATGCTCAGACAGTCACCAAGGGTGACAGCCTCTTAGCTGAGATGTAGAAACCAACTGCACCCTTATATGTTACATTTAAAATGGTTTACGCTGAACCACTGAGCACTGCTATTGCATTTCACCTGATGTTCGTAACAGACTAGGGACACAAGGTTTTGAGTTTCTGCCTCTCATTCAAAAGAACTGGCTTTTGGCAGCACACTATCTTGCTCACTTCTGATTGCCTGACTAATCCCAAGGGCAACATTTTCCAAGCAAAGAATGCCACCCATACCTTAGCTAAGACATGCAAAGCTGGGAGCACAACCCATGTACTATGGAGAACTCTACTCCAGTGCACTGGAATTACACTGATCTGAAGACAAACATGCAAAAACTGCTTATGGCTAAATCAGTGAAACATTAAATTCAAACATTTGCAGCACAACTATAACAGTGCACATCTGAAATGAAAAGGCCTTACCACATCCCCCCGTGCCAGCTCTAGATGTTAGGAAAAACAGCAGAGTCATTTTGTTCTCACCGCTTAATTTCAATTGATACCCACCACAAACAATATTGTTTTAATTCTGGTTACTTTAGTTAATTGTTTATTCAGTGGTAGCCATAAAATATCAAGGAGGGGTTTAAAAAAAATTGGAAAAGGCAAGGATAAGATAATTCCCCCAAATTTCAAAATATGCAAGAACATCCTGTCTTCCCAGGCATGGCAGTTCAAATTCAGATATTCTCAGCTTTATGTTTTACATAGGAGATGACATTTAGATGTCACTGGAATTGCATCAGCTGGTAAGTGGACTTGCCACAAAACCATTTTCCTCAGCTGAGCTATAGTTACAGTGTCCAAAACATAGTGAGTAAATGGTCACGTCCTTGAGAATGTGCCTTCGTTGGGAATACGATGGCGTTAACACCACCCACACTTGCACTGGGCCCATTCCCACGGTACAGCTCAAGGGAGACCCAGGGTCTTTGCCTGGAGGGAATTTCACTGGCCGAGTCAACATTTAAGAGCTAACTTTCTAATGTGAGTCTTACAAACCACAGAGAATTAATCATACTACCCAACCTTATGGGAGGACTGCCAAACCACCATAACTTTCTTTCAAGCACATTCTTATTTGTGTTTGGAGAATAACAGATTACAAAAATCAAAAGTGAACTTTCCTTTGGTCACCTAATATCTGCCTGACTTTATTCTACGTATAAGACCTCCAGTGGCCTCTATGGAAAAGTAGGGGATAATTTTCTCATCTGCTTCTGTTCTTCAGTAGTTCTTGACATGCCAATATCTCAGTACTGCGTGCTCCTCTCTCAAAAATTATTAAAATACCCAAGACTACCAAAGACTTCCTAACCTCTTGGACTGTAGTAGATATATCTGGTTTGGCCCCAACAACTATCATAAATTCACACGGTGTCCTTAGCAAAATAGTCTTGTGTTGCCCTAAAATCACATTCAGAAGCTGATGATTTGATAGCAGTTTTTAACTAAAGTATGCCTTATTTGTGTTAGCACCCTCCAATAGTATGGTAGCTATAGCCTAGTGTGTGTGTGTGTCCCTTGAAGAAAGAGATCTGCAGCCATTCACACCTTCACTGCTGAGATGCAGCCTCATGTCCCACTGCTGCAGGCAGAACCCTGTGGGCTACAGAAGACCACCTAGAAAATACTGTAAAAGTTATTATCCCTGCTATTCACTGAGGGCAGTAACTGTTGGGGCAGTACAGGGGTGCTTGCAGAGCTCACCCTTAGTAAATGGCGTGGGTAACAGCACCTACTAAGAGAAGAGTATGACTACAAACTCTGTGCACTCATGCGTCTGGACCAAATACACATAACTGGGCATTTGCGCCAAACTGCGTATGTTAAAGAAGCAGCAACCATTAGACAGATTAAACAATAACTGGGGAATCAGAAAGACTTTTAAAAAAAAACAAAGGAGCTAGCTTGAACAGAGCTATAAAAGAAGCGTGATTGCTGGTTAACTACGTGTCATCAGTAAGTCAAAACAGTGCTTTGGTCCTGATTTTTTCAAAACTGTAGAAACTGAGTGGTTTTCTCCTGTGAAAGCCTGCTGAGCTGCTGCTCCTTCCGTCTTGAAAATGAAGCACTGCCTCATGTCCAGCTTGCAGCATGGGAAAGAGAAGGCCCTGTAAGATCTAGAGATGTGCCCCAGGCTGTACAGCAGAGAAGCCAACTCAGCAGCATTCTCCAGGTCCAGGGGAAAGAGCTCTCCTCTCAGCAGAGAAGTGACAGATGAGAAGGGACATGTATCAGAGAGAGGAAATGGTTATAATTATTCTCTGGCTGCATCTACACAGCTTCCAAGCTCTCCTGATTGTTCACAGGCATATAAATTTGTCTGCTTCTAAACTCTAATCTGGACCTAATGAACCACATACAACCTTCAAGTTGGGGGACAGGTAGCTCCAAAAGAAGTTAGGCATCACGGTCATGGCTGTGCCAAACGTGGCTAGCTGTGCCCTGCACAATGCGTCAGTGCTATCTCAGCACACACACCCTTGTGCCGTGCCCCAAAGACATACCAAAACAATCACCACACCTCTTGCATTGAGTTAGAAAAATATATATTCCTGTACCACCAAGCAATGCTGCTTTCAGCCAAACGGTTGAAGAACAGCAGGTCCAACGGTGGCCAGTGCCAATGCACAAGCCTCCTGGGACACTGCTGAGCCGTACAAAGACTGGCCCATGCAGGCTGGGCTATGGCATGCGCAGCTTCGGGGGGTAGTGATGGGGGCTGCCTGGGGTGGCCCAGCAGGACCGCTGCTCCAGATGTGGCTGTGACGAGTTTCTGACCTGAACTGCTTCTGCTGTGCCTACCAAACTGGGGAGAGCTGGGAATGGCAAGACACCAGAAAGCATTGGCAGTCCTCTCCCCCTGCCAGTTCCCTGCCAAAAGCATCGAACTTGGCCTTGCAAGCTCTGTACCTGCTGCTGTGTCTCACAGGTGTCTGTCCCAGCTGGGGCCCACAGTGGGTACCAGGTTCAGCATCTCCTCTCCAGCTCTGGTAAACAACTGCAAGGGCAACCTCCCTGGGTAACGTGATCAGCTGGAACTGACAGTCCACATCTCCAAGCCTCTAAGCCCAAACATCTGGAAAAAGTAATGCTCCTATCTAATATAACGCTCCCCAGGGACCGGCCCTTTGCCTGCTCCCATTTGAGAGAAAGCAGCAAACCGACAGACAAGCCAGAGATGACACCAAAAGGCTGTCTGACAAACAGAAGCAGCAAACACAGCCGTGGTGAGCAACAGGTCACCGCAGCAGGGCTGGGCAAAGGCTGCCTGTGCATCCAGACCGTGGCTCCTTCCAGGGGCCAGCTGGCGCATGTCCTCTTTGGGTGAGGTGAGCATGTGCATGGTGGAGCCTGGGTGAGAAAAGCGAAAAGACAAGAGAGGCAAAAATCTTTGGCCTTGTGCTGTGTCAGGGATCACTGGAAGCTCCGTGCAGTGCAAACACAGCCAGCCTGCACCACCAGGTCAGGGGACCAGAATTGACTTTAGCAGTACAGACAGAGTTCTCCTAACTGCTTCTACACTGTTTTCTGCTGCAAGGGGAAAGATAAAAGGCTTCCCCTCTCAAGACATTGCTGTTTCATCTTCCATTGGTCCCTCTGAAGAGGCTTTAAAGGCTGACTTCTACTCACAGAAGAAAGGAAGCCAGTCATCAGAAATGAACATCAGCCCTTCTTTGGACTTAATGGAGGCTGGGCATCACCTTGCGGGCTTGCACTGGAGACCCAGTGTTGGCAACTGAACCAGGGGACTGGAACTGCCCTTTGCTTGGTGCATGTGAAAAGCTCTCGCTGCTTTTCATTCCATGCCTGGGTCATTCCTGTGTCACTGCCTGCCGGACTGGAAGGAAATGACTGCTGTAAATCTGTTTTTAGAAATATTTG